TTCTATGCTTGTTTTGGTTGGAAAAATTGATTCTTTACAAAATAGATTAGTTTGCAAACGATTTTTAACGTATCGATACGCACATCGCCTATTCCTACAGTGGCTACGTTCGAAAACGTCGCTCGGATGCCTCCGATGCCTCGGATTTATCATCCGTCCTTGTTTAACATTAAATGTTAAATAAGGACGGATGATGGAATCCGAGGCATCCGAGCGACGTTCCCGAACGCAGCCAATATTGACATTCAAATACTGGCGGGAATTGCTGAGAAATGACGAACCAATCAAAATTGGCTGTTCTCGTGTCGCAACTCTGATTAGAGGGTCTCTATACGTATGCAATGTAATCGCGAATGTGCGTAACGGCCATCGCGCGAGTTCTTTGGTGCGGTGCGGTGCGGTGAGACGTACGTGGCCGACAGCCGAGCGCTAAGCAACGGCGCGCTTCCCCTCTTGCCTTTCCTGTCGGCGCGGACGCGGCGCGGCGCATCGATCGTTTGACAATATTCGTCAGACGTCAAAGGCTAAATTTGGAAACGTCGCTCGGATGCCTCCAGCCATGTATACACCTAGCGAACGAACACCGAACGCGAATGTTCGGATATTAGTGTTTATATTTGTGAGCAGTTTATTCTTTTTCTCGATTGTACGGAATATTGGTATTCGACCAGGTTCGATGTTCGTTCCATGTAGCAATTAAACTTGTGCGACTTTTATGTAACAAACAGCGATACAAATTTTTACGTTTGCTGTTCGTTCGGTGCGAGGGGTGTTTCACTCTCGAATCAAATAAACATCGTTGCTCGACTCTCGCTGACTCGGTTTGATTCGCTCCTTTATTTTCACTGGCTTCTATTGATTCCTCGCACTATTTTAGCTGTTTGCGCTCGTTGATTCGCGCCGATTCATTTCTTAAACGCACCGACTCGCTAAGACTCGCACTGTGACTCGAGAGTGATACGCCCCGGTTCGGTGTTCGTTCGCTAGGTGAATACGCGGCTTCCGATGCCTCGGATTCATCATATGTCTTTGTTTAACATTAAATGTTAAACAAGGACTGTCGTATTATGGTTTGTATTTGTAAAGGATTTTTATGTTTATTTCGATCCCATCTACTTTCCTGGGAGGGATTGGAAAAGTCTCGCTGGACACTCTGTATATACATATAATGTCAGTATATACGTCGTCACGCGACGCAGTGGAATGTAAGCAAAGCGAGAAGAAAGCAAGAGTGATACGTGTCGAATATTAAATGTGCTAATCAACATTGACTTAAACATTAGAAGAAATCGCAGGTGAACGGATTAAATTGCCAAGTTTTCCATATATTTTATTGTCGTGGAAAAAAAATCTGTATTTTATAATTTGAAGTATATGCTCTTCACATTTTTCCATTTTATCAAATAGAACCAATATTCAATTCTTTTATACAGTATAAAAATACGACCACTCAAATCCGACAAAAATCATGCTTTTGATTTTTTGTAATTCTCTTTTCATATACACACACAGATTAGTAGAATATTTTCACGCACGAATAATATTTTTCACGATTATTCATATGAAACAGAATATTCGCTCCGCGCTAATTTCACAGAAATGTTTACAATGATTTATAAAAAAAAGTATTACGTTTTTACTAATATTATTGACAATATAATTCTTTATATATAACCTTAGATTTCAAGTTTTGAATTATTCTTTCTTAGATACGATTTTATTCGCAACTTAGATTAAAATATCAAATGGACAATTTACGCTTTAAGGACAAGAATTTGCTGGCAGTTTAACGAATTGTTAAAGTGATGGTCTTTTCATTTACTTAACATTGTATAGTTGTACTTGTATTTATGATTTACCTTTGTAAAATTGAAAATGACCCCCGAATGGAGTCGAAACGTTTGTAACTTTATGATTCTAATTTAATTTAATTTAATTTGTTTGTTTAAATATTGGTTCTATGCCCTTTTTTATGTTGTTTTATTACATTTTATTTTGCAATACGATATTGAAATTCGAGTCTGTGCAATAAATTGTTACAAAAAGATTGTTAATTAAAAATCAATACGTGAAGAGGCAACTTTACGTTACATTAACCCCAAGCGGATGCGGACGTAATTCGAATAGAAAAATCAAGAGGAAAAAGGTCGGAACATTTTGTTTCATCGGCTTTGTGACCGTACTTCTATTACATAACGGATGTATTTTTTTCAAACATATTTGAATCGTTATAAATGATATAAATTATACGGGACGTTACACTCTCTACACTATTTTCCAAACTCCAAATCTATTTTTCGAAATAAAAAAGAAGGAAAGTAAATGTCACTCTCTTTTCCTTCATTTAAATTCAATACGTAAAAGATATTTAGAATTCATACTGTAGTAAAATTAAGCACTTACATTTTAATGTTAAAAATATTATTAATTAATAAATTATTTAAAAATGTAAGTTAACTAAAACGTATCATTATGGTATCGTGAAAAAATATTGTATATAATAATAGAAAATGATTGATGTTTTAAAAGCTTGACAAACAAACCATATTCGACTGTAGATTAGTTTAGAGAGAATGTACTATGCCGTTGCACGCTGTTGTAATTGCGACAGATTATGTATACATATATAAGTCGGGGTTTCAACCACGACGCGACGTGACGTGATCCAGTATAGTACTAATCGTACACAGTGCTTACAAAGCTTAGTGTTAACAAGCGCTTGCAAACTTGCAAACATCGTTCTGCACATATAATTGGCTTGTACATATAATCTCTTTGATAACACTGTTGTGGTTAATTGAGGTGGAGTAGAAATTGGTGAGAACAGGACCCGAGTCAAAATTACGCTCGAGCGTAAATACCTGTCGAATGCAAAATACACATCGATTGAAATGTCCTGTGAGAAATATCGTAGGCGAAAGACTTATATTATCTCGAGAATATATTCTTAATACTAAGATAATACATTATATATATATATATATATATATATATATATATATATATACTTGCAAAAATTAAAGTTAAGTTACGATAATCAAATGGTAAATTGTGTTTGCAAATTGCGCAAACTTAAATTACCAAAGCAAGCATCTAATGATGAATATCATTTTAACGAAGAATTTCACGTAATGGTCTATTGTGGTTAGAGTGGCATTAAAATAATTGCATCGTTCTTTATTGAAGGAAAAATTATAAACTATAATCGTTTGCCGGCGCATTTTATAAAAAAGTACGATTAATTATGAAATCGTAATGTTATGCCCGTGCCATGTCGATTTCGATTTTTTAGTTTGACAAATTGGATAAAGTCGCTGGAAAATAACGAATGTATTGTCCAGCAATAAATTATCGGGTATTTAACGGATGTGGTTGGAGATTTTGTGACGGGACGCTAACCCGTATACTGTTAAATCTAGTATTTTAACTAATGTGATTTACCACTGCTCTTAAAATCCTACTTAATTGTATCGTTATTTTATACTTTTAAAACAATGACTACATTTGACAGTGTCAATTTCAATATTAGTATAGTGTTAAGTATACTTATCATTTTAGTATAAAATAACGATATATTGAGTACAAGCAGTGTCGACTCACATTAGGTTAAATTTGGCACATGACAATGTAGGTTTAACAGTATAAAGGATGTGTTCGCTCCCCTCTATTTTCGATTTCTGAGTCCAATATGCACTGTCGAGGGGGTAACCACTTAATGTAATCATGGGACAGAGTCCTCGAAATCATGATAAAATTCATATTAAATTTCTATGTATAATCCAATAATTACGTATACAACCACGATAAATCATTGTATAATATTAAATAAATTCGTATAATATTAAATAAATATTTTACCAAACGACTTCATATATATGTAGCGAAAAAAATTATTTGTAATCAGATGAAATCATATGACGTCATGTAATCTGTGGGACAATATTTCAGCTAATGGTTACTCCCTCGCGCACTGTATACTAACGAGCATTCCTGTATTCTTGCTTATCTTTCATTAAATAGCAATCATTGCGTTTCCTCACCGAGTGCTTCAATATTTCTGCGGGTCTGAAAGTACATAAGCGCGGACACTTGGAAAAGCGAGCTCGATCGTTCCCGGACATAACAATACATAAATATTTTTACACTCTGTTCTGAAATAGTCCACATTGGTAGTATTATTATGCTCCAGCAAATATTGGTTTGAATTTGATTTAACTTTCCGCCGGCGGGCGCAGGGTCTCGCGTTCATTTGCGAAGAAAATGAATAAATGGATATTTGTTTCTTTGATAAATATGTGTTTTTATTTCTCCTTTTACATATTTGAAATAATTTACTACATATATTATAATAAAAAACTGTTTTTTAAACGTTTTAAAACAATTTCATTCTTGGGTCGCTTTTGATTCTGCGTCCGCCGTGCGTACGAGTATCACAATGTCCGCTGTCCGAAGGTTAATAAAGATATATTTAAATACGATAAAATTTATATGAACATTTTCACGTGAAATATAATATAAACACGGAAATGTGAATCATTCAAATCACATGATTTTTTTAGGCTAAAATTGACAAAATGGGAATTTCATATCCGGCACAATACGGCGGCGTACGAAAGCAATCGATAATTCCTGATAATGTCCCGTTTCCTTGCAACGTGCATCTTGGCAGGTACATCTATGTGTAATTAAAATTAATAAAAAAGTTTTGAAAGTGTAATGCTTTAAAATGAATAATTATTCTTTATATGTCTCTCTCTCCCCCCTCTCTCTCTCTCTCTCTTCTCTTTTTCTTAATCGATAATTACAATATTCTATAAAATATACGGACATGCCTCTATTTACGAGATGACGTTTCAAAAGATTTCATCGTAAATAATAAATATTTATAATAAATAGAGACATGTCTGTATATTTTGTCGATTGTAAGTCCAATTAATTGCGTAAATCTTTTTTTAAAAAAAGATTTTTTTTATACTGATGTATTAACGCAGTCCTATGTCTAACAGCCCTTCTACAATAAGCCGCAAGTCAGAAGTTCTAAGCTATTTTGAGTCATAATCGGTGAAGTTGGCCAATAGCTAACTTGAACGATTTGGTTAAGACAGGTTAAGACTTCTGATGTTCTGACTTGCGGCTTATTGTAGAAGGGCTGTAAAACTCGGCTGGTGAGGTGGCGAGTTAAAACGTTTCCACCACTCCGCCTTCTCGGTTGATATATAGATCACTTCCACCTCTTCGCCGTACCGTTTCGTTCTACCGAAACAGCGGAGAGGTGGAAGCGTTTCAGCAAATCATTCGAGACCGTGCGGCGGCGGAGAGGTGGAAGCATTTCCCCTCGCGAGCTTTGGCCAGGCCTGTGTAAAGTGCAAATGGCATGAATATAATATAACTATATTTGATCGACAACTGCAAATTAGCACTAGCTTTTAATATTGAATTTTTTCTTTTGTGCAGGTATACTAGGCGTTTTTTTTTATCTATTTTTATTAAACCAATCTGCGATGGTAAAAACGAGTATTAATTTACTTTTTCACAGTACTATATAATTATTTAAATATTATTATTTAAAAAGAAAGAAAAATAATATAACTATTTATGTCAGTGCCGGAATTTGCATTTCGGCCGATTATCGGTATTTAGGCTGCGCGTGGAATGGTGAAGATAAGGAACAGGAATCAAGCTGAAAATATATAGAGGAAAGCTCCCTATCATGAGACGTGCTCGCAAATTGCGAATCCTGCTCAGCCGTGTATCGATTGCCTCGAAAAGGTTGTTTGTTTTGACGACATGCACGAACTCGGATAAATTTCTCGCCTTTCTTATCCAATTTTAATATGCGCGTTAACAAATACAATTTGCGTCCGTTCGCCTAAACGTTCAAAGTCAAATTGAGCCGAGAAAATAAATGCTCCTTCACAGATCAAACTCGATCAATGGACAGACCTTTATGGAAAATCCCTACTTCAAATGTATACGACATTCAAAGAATAATAGTTTTCGAGCGTCGAAACAGAGCCGGAGACCGCTCCCTACCAGGTGCTATAGCTTTGTTAATTTTGCGAATCGAGATAATTCCTTTTACAGACATATTTTCTATACCAAATAATTGCAAAATATATAAAAAAAAATCAATTTTTTTACCCGCTAAACTAGAATACTCCCTTAATAAATAAATCGTTATTGAATGGTTGTGTTTACGCTTTATAAAGCTTTCTTATTTTCGCGTTAGGATTTACTGTGGTGCTGACAGTGTCGGCATCACAGCCAATACGGTGGCAAGAATTTAATCCAACAAGCAATTCAGCAAAAAAGCAAGCATCGTGTGCCTTCCGGATTTAATATTACTGACAAGTATACGCTTCGTGTTTTTTCAGTATCTACAGTATGATGCGTACGCTCTCTAATCTGTTCTTCTCACACACTAGAATATATTGATTTCCAACAATTCCGTTCCGTATGGTTAGTCGGTTGCCACAGCGGTATATTATATTCATTAATTTATACGAGCTTATTCCAGCTCATACAAATATAGTTAATGGACATTATTGGACAGACAGACTACTGTGATAATCGTCCGAATTACGATTATTAGGAATCATTATATATTCGAGAAGTATAATACCACATGAGTATAAGAGAAAATCAGAGAGCGCGCGTTAGAATTTTCGAGAGAATGCGCAGCGTGCGGCTGTATATTAACTTGCGATGAAAATGACATCGCAGATCTACAAGCATGACATGATCCTCGAGATTATTTAAGGAAAACGCCGGAGAAAAGCATAATGTTAGTAACTATAAAAATGGTAAATATTAGTATAAGTATGTGATACTGAGATATATATGTATATAGATATATATGATAATTATATGTAACAATTAATATACGCATATGTACATTATATGTATATATAATATTAAATAGAGTCCGACCAAAACTGAAAACAAACACTCAGTACGTGTCAGTTTCGATTAAAACCATATAGCTCTGCTCCATAAGTATTAATTTTAATATGTGTAATTATTGTTTCAATAATTACATTATGATGTTTATGAGGAAGAAGTACTTATATTCTTTGGCAAAAATTGGCACACAACCGAAGTTTCAGTTTTCGATTTCGTCCGAAATTTAATTATTGTTTCAATAAATTATGATATTTATGAAGAAAAAGTATATGATATATAGGCATTTCTATACATATGGCTTTTATAGGATTCCTATTTTTTAATTTTACTCATGGCTTCACGAATATTATGGCAATCGCGCACACTGGTAATTGAGAATATGAAGATACTGATTGCGATTCATTTTTTACTGTACTTATTAATGTTAGATTGCTGAAAATGACTTAAACAGGAGTCGAAACGTACGAAGTGTTATATGGTATTTTTAATGTAATAAATTTCTCGAAATTTTAACAACTAGAGATTGACTCCTATTGCCTTCTTTACGAATTTTTGTCTTATCGATTTTTTATTTTGGTTTCGATTGAAATTGACACGTAGCCGAGTGTTTCGATAGTGTTTGTAGGTTCAGTTTCGGCAAAAGTTTCGATCAGACTATAATATTAAATTATAATTATAGAGGAAAGCTCCCTATTATGAGATAGGCGCCTAATATGAGATAGCGGCGTTTCTGCTAAACTAATGAACTCTATCTATTGGTTCCACCATGAATTTATTGCTTTTGGATTGAAAACTATTTAGTAGAAAATTCATTATTAGATCATGTCTGTAGTCATTGTAAAAAATTTAGAATTTAGATGTCTTCAAGTGTCATTGAGATGAGCCTTTAAATCTCGTTTATTATTTAATAAATAAATATTTGGCAAAAAATAAATTCTTCATGCAGTGATAGTGTAAGGTCGTACTAATAGAAAAATACGGGATATGTTGAATTGTTTAATTACAGACGTTAGATTTGGCGATCGTAAAACCATAAGACGTGGAAATATGAGATACTCAGGGTATTCCTAATATGAAATAACCCATGGTTCTATGTTATAGTGAAAATCGTTGTTAAAGTATAAATGTTATTATAGAATAATAAAAAAGGCAACCAGAATGAACGTCGAGTGTCTATATCTGCGATGCTTGATTCCAACTACTTGAAAATGAGTTCTGGGTATAATCTATCTCATGCTCATTTTTCGCACACGCTGGCTGTGGTTGTTTGTATTTTAGAAACATTAAATACAATTTTTTAATTGCAATACTGATATACTTTGCGTTTTACTATCGATTTTTCGGAGCATCTCATATTAGGAGCACAATAAAAAGCTAGCGCCAATTTGCAGTTGTCAATCAAATAGTTATTGTACTTATGCCATTTTGCCTTTACGCAGGCCTGTCGAAAGCTCGCGGACCTATACGCTTCCATCTCTCCGCCGGCGACTGGGTCGAAACACATTCACCTATGCGTCGCGCCTCGTCTCGCTGCACCGAAACGACAGTGAGGAGGTATAGAAGGGTTTCACGGGTTCATTAGCTGCGACGGTGAATTAAGCGTTTTGGCTAACCAGCCGAGTTCCGAACAGGACTGCATTAATACATCAGAACAAAAAAAAAACTTTTTTTAAAAAAAAAGGAAAACAGCATAAAGGAGGAGCTTCTTGGGAAGAGGGGAGGGACTGTTGCATTAAATTAAAATCTAAGTGGTATCTGCTATTATTATTAATGAACAAAAAGAAAAGTCACGTAAACTTCTGTTTTGTACATTAAGGTCCCTGTCAATACCAGACAATGTGCACCGATTAAGACCGGGTGACATCGATGTAATAGGTGGTCTCGGTGATTCTTTAGTAGCCGGAAGTGGCGCATTGGAGGAATTTGCTGTAGGAACCTTTATCGAAGCACGCGGAGTAAGTTGGTGTGTCGGTGGTCAAGGGGATTGGAGACAATTCTTCACCCTTCCAAACGTTTTAAAGGTATATAATATCAGAAGGTTGTCTTACATTGCAATGATCTCTCATCATGTATCGTTTCATCAAGATTTTATAAAGTGGCAGGGATATATGTGGTATGGACTTATAGTTATGCCTTTGTTTTTGGTGTTTTTAATGAGAGTTTTGGCTGAGTTAAATCGGAGGCCGATAGATCTTGTGGAAGGGGAATCAGAGTTAGTTTCTGGGTTTAATGTGGAGTATTTTAGGGGGATATTTGCTTTAATTTTTATAACTGAATATGGCATATAATAATTTTTTTTAGATATTTGATGGTGGGGACGTTTACTGATTTAGTGGGTTCATTATAATGGGTATATATTAAGTAGTTTTTATAATATATTTAGTAGTTTTTTCAATTATTTTGATGCGTGGGGTTTTACCACGTATATACGGTATGATGGATTAATATATTTTATATATTTATGTTAAAAGATTATTTTGCCTTTTATTTTAAATTATATAATTTTTATTTTAATATTTAAATTTTTATTTGTTTCTAAGGTATAAAAAAGATATAAGAGTAAGATATAAGTTAATAATTTAATTTATATTATGAACAAATTAATAGAAAATTTATATTTCTTTACTATGTTTTCAAAATATAGACTTATTCAAGATCATTAATTATTTATAAGAGTAGAATAGGAGAAAGAGTAGAGAGAGAATAAGAGAGTTAAGTAGAATAACGGAGAGTATAATATTATATTATATTATATGTATAAGAATAAGATAAAGGAAATTATAAATAGATTTTATTTTGTTAAATTATATTTATTAATGAGTTGGATTAGTAGAAAAAGGAAGGAAAGGGGGAGAAATTTAAAAAAAAAAAAAAAATTTCTATTTAATAATTTTATTATCATTAGGGTTAGAATAACTAAGATTAACTATTTTTATTTATAAATAATGAATTTTCATATTTTATAATTTAATGATAAATAAAGAATATGAAGTAATTTAGGGTAAGGATTTGAATCCTTAGATTCAATTAATTGTGCTTCTGCTCAAATTAATAGAGTGAAGGTATTAACAAATATTCAGTAGAGTAATTAATTTAAGAGTAGTATTGAGGATGAATTAAAATATTTAGATTTAATAGGGGGTAGAGTATAAAGAATTATAATTTATATTAGTACAGCAATAACTCCTCTAAGTTTATTGTGGATGGATCTTAGAATGGCGTATGCAAATAAGGAATATATTTCGGGTTCGTTGGATGGGGTTACTGAGGGATTACTGAGGGATTTGCCGGGGTAAAGTTGTCAGGATCTTTAAATATATAAGGGTATTGTATAATAATAATGAAAAATAATAGAAGGATGATAATAAGTCATAGGAGGTCTTTTATGGTAAAATAAATGTGAAATGGGATTTTATATAAATCTTTATTTATTGCTTTAGATTTGAGGATCCAGTTGTGTGTGTAAAAAAAGTAAGTGAATAAAAAAAAATAATAATAAAGGGGAGGATGAAGTTATTATACACATCTATAATTACAATTTAATATTATAGTCCGATCGAAACTGAACCTAAACACTCGGCTACATGTCAATTTCAACCGAAATCGAGAAACCAAAATTAAAAACCGATAAGACAAAATTTCGTAAAGAAGGCAATAGGAGTCAACCTCTAGTTGTTAAAATTTCGAGAAATTTATTACATTAAAAATACCATATAACTTCGTACGTTTCGACTCCTGTTTGAGTCATCTTCAGCAATCCAACTTTAATAAGGTAGAGCATAAATAAATAATTAATAAATTCAGCAAAAAATGAATCGCAGTCAGTATCTTCATATTCTCAATTACCAGTGTGTGTGATTGCCATAACATTCGTGGGGCCATGAGTAAAATTAAAAAATAGGAATCCTATAAAAGCCATATGTATAGACATGCCTATATATCATATATTTTTTTTTCATAAATATTATAATTTATTCAAACAATAATTAAATTTCGGACGAAATCGAAAACTGAAATTTCGATTGTGTGTCAATTTTGGAATATAAGTACTTCTTCCTCATAAAGAATATAAGTACTTCTTCCTCATAAACATCATAATTTAATTATTGAAACAATAATTACACATATTAAAATTAATACTTATGAAGCAGAGCTATATGGTTTCAATCGAAACTGACACGTACTGAGTGTTTGTTTTCAGTTTCGGTCGGACTCTATTTAATATTATATATACATATAATGTACATATGCGTATATTGTTACATATAATTATCATACATATCTATATACATATATATCTCAGTATCACATACTTATACTTATATTTACCATTTTTATAGTTACTAACATTATGCTTTTTTCCGGCGTTTTCCTTAAATAATCTCGAGGATCATGTTATGCTTGTAGATCTGCGATGTCATTTTCATCGCAAGTTAATATACAGCCTCACGTTGCGCATTCTCTCGAAAATTCTAACGCGTGCTCTCTGATTTTCTCTTATACTCATGTGGTATTACACTTCTCGAATATATAATGATTCCTAATAATCGTAATTCGGACGATTATCACAGTAGTCTGTCTGTCCAATAATGTCCATTAACTATATTTGTATGAGCTGGAATAAGCTCGTATAAATTAATGAATATAATATACCGCTGTGGCAACCGACTAACCATACGGAACGGAATTGTTGGAAATCAATATATTCTAGTGTGTGAGAAGAACAGATTAGAGAGCGTACGCATCATACTGTAGATACTGAAAAAACACGAAGCGTATACTTGTCAGTAATATTAAATCCGGAAGGCACACGATGCTTGCTTTTTTGCTGAATTGCTTGTTGGATTAAATTCTTGCCACCGTATTGGCTGTGATGCCGACACTGTCAGCACCACAGTAAATCCTAACGCGAAAATAAGAAAGCTTTATAAAGCGTAAACACAACCATTCAATAACGATTTATTTATTTATTAAGGGGATATTCTAGTCTAGCGGGTAAAAAAATTGATTTTTTTTTACATATTTTGCAATTATTTGGTATAGAAAATATGTCTGTAAAAGGAATTATCTCGATTCGCAAAATTAACAAAGCTATAGCACCTGGTAGGGAGCGGTCTCCGGCTCTGTTTCGACGCTCGAAAACTATTATTCTTTGAATGTCGTATACATTTGAAGTAGGGATTTTCCATAAAGGTCTGTCCATTGATCGAGTTTGATCTGTGAAGGAGCATTTATTTTCTCGGCTCAATTTGACTTTGAACGTTTAGGCGAACGGACGCAAATTGTATTTGTTAACGCGCATATTAAAATTGGATAAGAAAGGCGAGAAATTTATCCGAGTTCGTGCATGTCGTCAAAAGAAACAGCCTTTTCGAGGCAATCGATACACAGCTGAGCAGGATTCGCAATTTGCGAGCACGTCAGCAAAAAAACTGCAAAGTTCGAAAGATATCGATTTTCCTATTTGAAAAGATTTTGGTTATTGTATTTTGAATTTTTTCGCATTTTTTTCAACAGTCGCATCTCTTGTGGTTTGTAAAAAAAATTGCAAAAGTAGTTTTTAATTTTCCCAGACGACACATCGATGTTTAGGATTCAAAATTTATGTAAAGTGCAGCTGCAATGAAGTGTATATCGATTTGTCACCACTTGTTGACAAGGCATATGAAATAAATCGTCGAAATATTTTTGTGTTGCGGCTGTTGGGTGTCGGACGAGAAGGTTTGAATTTATTTTGCGGTTTGTTGGACATTTGCCACGACATGGCTATAAATACTTATTACGATTTCCTTGAAAATATCTGTATAGCAACATCTGTAATGTACAATGGTATTTTAAAATAAGCAGTTGAAAATGAGAAGAAGAAGAATGAAGAAGCTGAAAATATTACAACACATTTAACGGTTTCCAGTGACAGAACATAGAAAAAGAGAGGATTCTCATCTTTATTTGGTGTGTTTCCACTCTAAGTGGAAAATATTCGAAAAAAGTGATTGATGCTGAGATTAAAAGTAGCTTTTGCCAAGCATGTAATTTGTGGAAAATGGATAAAGACGATGATGTTGATAAATATAACGAATGGTACAAAATACACGAAAAAACGTGCTCCACAAATCATAAAGGCACTGCAGATAAAATGGAGATCGGCGCTGTCACTGATGGTTTTGAGATCGAAGGAGAAGCACGGAATTCTTTACGTGAAATACATTGAAGACGGGGACAGTAAAACGTTCAAGAGAATTTTAGATGTAAATCTGTATGGAGATAAAGGCTATTGTGGTGAAAAAAGGGTGCGTCGGTCACGTGAATAAGAGAATCAGCACGAAATTTCACAATGCGAAAAAAACTTGTCATCGGATGAATTTCTAGGACGTTGTTTAGGAGCAGAAACACAAAATAACACGAATCATTAAATTCATTGATTTGGATTTTTTCTCCAAAACACCTTCATTCTGGAGCAAAGATTGTTGAAACAGCAACTTTTCTGGCAATTATTATTTTCAATGAAGGATTTTTATCAATTTTAAAAGTTATGAGCGTGATGGGAATAGTTATTGGTCAGCAAGCGGAGATGTACGTAAACTCCCGGAACGAAGCTCGTATCACTCGCTCGGAGAGGCCGACATTCTGACTTCGCCAAAAAGGAAAGAGCAAGTTATAGAGAAGAGAGAGGACTTCTACAGGATTTTTCTACAGGATCCTGAAGAACAGGAAGATTTCTTTTATGACCCCGAACTAGCTGATTGATCGCAAGTAAAATTATCTGTATATAATCAATACGAAAAACTTTAAACCCGATTTTCCCGAAATCATGTTTTTCAAATTCCTCCCATCTCGAAAACCAGTTGACCAATCGAATCGGGCATGTGCACACATCTTCAGCATATATATGGCTATAGCCCCTACTACGACCAAGTCGAAATATATATTTTTGTAATTTTTACAATCATTTTGGTGAAAAAAAAAAAAAAAAAATCTGAACTTAATTTTCGACATGACGACATCTTTTAAATTATCAGTA